ATATACATATATAACATATATACTATATACATATATACATATATATATATATATATATATATATATATTATATATATATATATATATATATATATATATATATATATAATATATATATATATATATATATATATGAATATGTATACCTATACACCTATATATATATATATATATATATATATATATATATATATAATATATATATATATATATTATATATATATATATATATATATATACTACTGCACTCACTGCTCCCCGACGCAGAGGTGACACTGGGTCGAATGTAGTTAGCGACAGCTTGTAGAGACGCCACTCTCTAGACTATGACGACATGTGTTGACTTCATTGTGTTACTCAAATAGGCGTGAATAAGGATGTGAAAAACAAACAACGTCGAGTTAAAGCAGAAACCCAGCTTCCTTCTCACCCATCATCATGATCTTTAGCACTTGAACTCATTATACCTCGTCTAGATTTAGCTGTGACCGCACCATATTAAGGTTAGAGTTCAAGGCTGAACGTGTTTGAATGTGTTGGCGATACCACTGTGTGGTCTGCGTATAGATCAAAATTCTGTTTTAATATGTTTACTAACGTTACACTATTCAAATTTTAACTTCAATATCCTCAAGGAGATGTTAGTGTGAGGCAGTGGGCGTAGCGAGGTCGGGTGTCACCCGGTGCGGCACTTAATGGTGTCACCCCCCCCCCCAGTGGCATAGAGACCCTTCCCAGGGACAAACTTTCAAATTTTCGATTTTCACCCCCCTCAAACTTTCGATTTGCACCCCCCCCTCAAACTTTCGATTTGCACCCCCCCCCCCTCGAGTTTTTTCTCTACATATTTTGCTATTTTTTGCCTTGGTGTCACCCCCCCTAAATGGTGTCACCCGGTGCGGTCCGCACCCCCCGCCCCCCCCCCCCCCCCTCGCTACGCCCCTGGTGTGAGGAGAGGGGGGAGTTGCCTTTCGCCTCTCTATGCCACTCCTCTTGTTAAAGAATAGTTAGATATAGTTTTTTTTTTATGTTAGAGAATGAAATTTTAAAAAGGCTATTGTTGACAGTGGTTGTTGGTGTGGTGCGACTGGACTAGCGATGAACGTTTGCTAACTCACATCAATACATTACAATTAATCACCAGAAAATTGCGGTAGAAAAATCTGTTTGCGCATAATTTGTGTGCAGTTTTCAGTTGCGCACTTATTTTGTGCGCATTTTCCTTCTGCGCAAATTTCCGTTGCGCATTTTTCTGGTCAACATTTAATGAGTTCGCTCGTGAGCCACGTCACGAGTCGAGGGCGAATGAGGGGGGTGGGGGAATATCTGACTATTGTAATGTCGGTGGACTTTGTGATATGTGACCAAGCATACAAATTGCAATTCTTAAAAACAAGAATTGTAAAAAAAACCCATTGTTTAAGACATTATAAATAATGGTTATGGAGGAAAGGGGATTGTCTGAAAAAATAACCTGAAATTTTGAATCGAATTTTGAGGATTGGGAAAAAATAGGGTGGAGAATTGTTCCCACAAAGTTCATAAAAAAAACAAGTAATATAAATATAACATTATTTAAAAGTTAATTTTCCCCTCTCCATGACATTTCAAAACCACTGTACCCATTAAATCTCTATAATCCACTGTACCCCATTACCTCTAAAATTCACTTTACCCCATCTCCTCTTAAGTCTACTGTACCCCAACCTCTATAATCCACTATACCTCAACACCTCTAAAATCAACTGTAGAAAACCCTGTACCCCATCACCTCTAAAATCGACTGTAAGAAAACCCTGTAACTCATTTAGAGCCCCACTTTCCCATAAACCCAATCCTTGAAATTCCAGGGTGGCCTTACAAAAAACAACATTGAAATAAATTTAACAGCAAGCTGAAGGCTCTGGGAGATGACCGGTGCTGTAATCAGGGAATATTTAGACAAACTCATGACGTCAGTACCCCCTCACCTCCCCCACTACACCCCTCCACCAGACCCAGGTTGTGTAAACTACTTTCCCCAGTTGCCGAGGCGTCAGGTATTTATTTCATCGTTGCGGATGTTCTTCTGCTGAAGCAGATAAGTTAAATCAATTTTAAACAAACCATTTTTTGGACTCTGCTTACAACGGGCTGTTCGGCTAAAAAAAAAAAGAAAAAAGAAAGAAAAAAATCACCTTAAAAATTAGATTACTTTTCACTCTTAATGTCTAGCAGGGAGTGCCTTGTGATATTGTAACCCTACTTTTTGGTAGCTCTGTTTTTTTTAAATTATTTTTGGTCTAGAAGGTCTAGGCATAGGTTCAAGGATATACTGACCAAGGGGTTATGTTTATTTTAGTCCCATTGCTTTTGGTGTTTGCCTACATAATTTATGCCAACATTAACTGCCCATAGCTTTAGGTGTTTGTCTACATAATTTATGCCAACATTAGTTTCCCATAGCTATGGTGTTTGTCTATATAATTTATGCCAACATTTATAGTTGCCCGATAGCTTTTGATGTTTGCCTAAATAATTTATGCCAACATTAGTTGACCATAGCTTTTGATGTTTGTCTACATAATTTATGCAAATATTAGTTGCCCAATAGCTATGGTGTTTGTCTACATAATTTATGCCAACATTAGCTGCCCATAGGTTTTGGTGTTTGCCTAAATAATTTATGCCAACATTAGCTGCCCATAGGTTTTGGTGTTTGCCTAAATAATTTATGCCAACATTTAAAGTTGCCCCATAGCATTTGATGTTTGTCTACATGTCTACAAATTATTTTAGACAAGTATTAACGAGAACATTAACATGAGCGTATTAATATTATGCTTACATTTTGGTGGCACAGTCATGATGGTCAGCGACGGAAAGCGATTATTTAAATTATTTAAAATTACTATTATTTAAAACAACGTAAGCCTACTGGGTTGGCCTATATCTGGCGTGAATCTGCTTTTTTGTATGAATATTGCTTATGTTAAAGTCTGCCTAATGTGTGAATCTGCCTAATGTGAAAGTCTGCCTAGTATGAGAATCTGCCCTTTTGACATGTATCTCCTTCCAACATGTTTACGGAACAAAAAAAAAAATGCACGCAGGTTGCAACTAACATGTCCTCAAGTTCAAATAATTTTTATTTTGTAAAGAAATTGGACCTACAAATCTTAAACAGAGAAAATTAATCATACAGTTTTAATTGCATTTTTATCTACCAACGTAAAACAACACGCTATAAATGTACTTCAACTGCGCATGCTACGCGCAGACCTTGAATTTTTTGAATATCCGTTACTGGGGATGTATTCAATTCACGGTTGTAACAGTGCGCTAACGAACTGAAATCTGAGTCACGCTTTGTTCAAATTTTGGAACGGGTTGGTTGAGACATTTCATGGGTCGTTGTCTGCAGCCGTACTTTACATCAGCGGTCCCCCGTTTGTGGTTTACAGACCCATTAAATTATATAAAGACCAGTGGGAACTGCAGTGTTTATTTTAGGCATCACTTCGAGGTGGGGGGGGGGGGAAGAGAGAGCACGTCTACCACTCTCCCTAACGAAACTGAATTTATATAGAAAATCCGCCTCTCCCACTCCCCGGAAAATTAGTCCGCCTCTCCCAAAGTTTCAAGTGCCTCAACCCCCGTAGAAATAAGCCTGAAAGAAACATGGGGGGGGGGAGGATGTAGGAATAGTGGGGGGGGGGGAGGCTGGTACGCAAATATTGATAAACAACAAAAGAAAAAGTCTCAAAAAGTTTAAAGTAACAATTAAAACATTGCTTAAATTAGAACAAAAAGTGGCGCTCAAGGCACGAAAACGCAATTTTTAGATATTAAACTGAGAACGAAAAAAAAAATTTCCCATTGCAGTCAGCTTGAAGCACATTCTAGACTTGAGATTACAAACTGACTTCACGTGAGCTGAAGTGTAAATCATCTCAACACCATAAAACAGGACGATAGCATGAAATAGTTATCTAGGATAATACAACAGGCTTTATATATATATATATATATATATATATATATATATATATATATATATATATATATATATATATATATATATATGATAGTTGATAGTGAACATTTCTGTTTTGTAAACAACTTCATGATCATTTTTCAGAAGGGAGACAGCTACAGTAATCAGGGGAAACTACTCTAGAATTTTAAGATAAATAATAATATATTATTTTAGGGTGGTTCTCTCTCACGGTCATTTTAAAGTTGTTACAAATATTTTGAAAACCTGTCCCCAAGTTTGATAATCTATGGATGATCGAATTTGCAAAAATGTCTACGATATTTCTTTTTAAAGTTAACAAAAGAAAAGCACCATATATGTTGATCTACGTACTCCAATATATTTTGAATTAAAAGCCCTGTAGACCACTAATTACCCAAAAATTATCTTTTAGACCGTATGCTACATTTTTACTATTTAGAAAAATGCCAAGCACACACAAAACAAAATAATATATTTAATAATCTTTCATTTCTATTTTGAACTATTAAAAAGAAAAATAAATACTACAAATCGTTAACTTAAATCACACAACATACAACATAAAAAAAGATGCGGCATTTTATGAAAATGGTTACATCAATTTTTATAGCATCGTGATTAGACCTGGCTATGTTTTTAAAACACATTTAATTTTATGTAACATTTGTTTACTTTCTGCAATCGAGCATAATTTTAATATTCTATTCTTTAAAATTTCTTTATATTATTTTATTCATTATGATGCACAAACATTTATCACAAACCTACATTTCATCTGTATACACTAAAAAATATAAAACAACAACACCGAGTGGTACAGGGTACAACAATGTTAGAACCACTGCGCAAGGGTGTAGCAACTCCTAAAGTACCGGCTGATCTAACTACCGAAATAAAACGAAGCGCTTATCGAACAACCGAGTGTCGTATACGCGATAAACCGCGCGCTAAAACTTCCCGCAAACACCACGGAGCGCGCGACCTTTAGTCCCAGAGAGCAGACGTCACTCGTGGTGTGTGCACGGTTTACACCTGTCGTTACAACGTGGTGCAGTGGAGCGTGGAGTCCAGGTGTTTAGGCGTTGGATTAAATATTTGAATTATTGTAGGTGAGTAGTGTTTGTTTAATTTTGTGAATGCCGTAGCGTCATACTTACTTATTCCTGTGTGTTGCCGGCTAGACATTAAAACCCGTTCTTGTGAGTACTCTTTTTAATTACTTTAGCTGTTGTAAAGGAGTCATATTTACATAGACATATAGCTAACAGTGAGGCTATTTTTATCCTAACCCAATTAGACCCACATTATCCCTACATAGCTTAAGGCTAAAGTATCGTTATCGTAGATCCAATACTCGATGTCTGCATTATGTTTAGGGTCAGCTGATCTACATTAGTATGTATCAGCTTTCTATTTTCTAGTTTGACACTGTTAATAATACGGTGTAAAGGGGGGGGGGGGGGGGTTAGTCGTCTTTAAATAGAGTTACACACATCAATTAAGGAGAGGAAGAGTGGGGTTGGGGGGGGGGGGGAGAGAAGCATAAAGATGCAGATATTTTACATTTGTAAATAAATAAAGAAAACTGTGTTACTTTACGGCAAAAAAAAAATGTTTTTTTTTTTGGGTGTGATTTGTGACTTTATTTTAGAGGGGTTTGGCTTTGGGTTGTGTGATAAATTTTGTGATGCCAAATGAATGGATGCATCCGTTGTCTGTTTCTTAAGCATTTACAGGTAGTTGTGTTGGTGAGTAGCTAGTTTGACGCGCTGAAATGTAAAAATTTCACTCTTATTTTAACCTTACAATCAATAATTAAGGACTCACACCAAAACAACATTAATTGCTCAATATTTAAAAACAAAACCTGAAAATAATACCACTATAATACTATAATAATAATTATAACTTCTGCTTTACTAGCAGCCAACTTAAAAACAGTTTACATAAGTCTCGTTGTTAAGATGAACTATGGGCAAGTTCACAAGCGAAAAATGGTAGTAGTTTTTGCAAAATACAGGCACCCTCGTTTTCGGTTTAAGATTTGAAATACGTCGATTGAATTCACGAGTAGTTGAGTGTGTGATTGGTATAGTTGAAATACAGGTAGCTAGCGTTACGACGGGGTGGTGGTGGTGGAGGTGTGTGTGTATGGGAGGGGGGGAACTATTCATTAGACCGTGAGTTAATTTGCATTAGAGCTTCATAAACAGCGAGATGGGTCAGTAAGTTACGTCAATAAGGCGACGTATAGAAACAGTAGTTCTAAAGACAGCTAGCTATCTTTGATCTGTCCCGTTTTCTAAAGATGGCACGCTTCGTTTGCGTTGATTATAAAATCTTCGAAAAAAAAAAGACCTTTCAGTCTGGCGGGAATGAAAAGAATAGTATTACATGAGTTGGAAAACTGCGGGGAACGGCGATAGAGTGCTTGGGGGAAGGGGGAGGGGGGTAGGACGACGACGGCGATTGAGTGACGATTAAACAGAGTGTCAGACAAAGCCGTCAGTTGATTATTTCACGCCCTGTGAGGTAAGACACCCACTCGTCTGAATACACAATGGTAAAATAGTTCCTGTATCGAATTACAAGGACTACTTATGTTACTACGCGTACACGATCGTCGAAAAAACAAAAACAAACAAACCTCGAATAAAAAAACAAGGGGTCCCCTTACGCCAAAAAATTAGCACAAACTAAATAGGTTAAATAAGATGGCTTGTTGTTGATAGCAGACCTGACGGACAGCGATACTCAGCATGTATCGATACTTGGCATACATAAATAAATATCAGACATCGATACGTGTCATGAATCGATACTCGTCACGATCCGATACTCGGCTTACATAGAAATTTAGCATACACAAATACTCGGCATACATCGATACTCGTCACACATCGATACTGTCATGTTTGATTACGATTACGTGGATCAACATCTTGAAGTGTGGAAAAAAGAATCCGTATCAGTTTGGCTGTTGTCATTAGTTTCAGAACGACTGCGAGAGCAATCGGGCATTGACATTTTTTTTTGTGTGTGGATTTCTTTGAGGATTTTCGTGTTTAGATCGCGAGATCAGTTAAGATGTTGTGATTTTTGTGGTTGGGATATCGATTTTTTTTAAAATGTAAGTTTATCGATTATGTGATTGTTTGATTTTGTTGTTGGACAGGAGTATTATATTTGTACATGAGGGTCGGGAGTAAGGTCAATGGTATAAGGGCAAGGGGGGGGGGAGGGGTGGGATGGGGGTGTGAGGAGTATGCATTAATGGTGTGAGTGAGGTGTGCGTGTGAGCGTGAGTGGTAGAGGAGTGAGTGGTAGAGGAGTATGGGCCAATGTAATGAGGGGTCTTTGTGTGTGAGGAGTGAGTGAGTAAGGAATAGAGTGTGAATGGTGGGGGGAGTATAGGTCAAGTGTGTGGGGGTGGAAGAGTGAGGGTGGGGAATATGTGTGAATAGTGTGAGGGGTGGAAGTGAGGAGTAAAGGTCAAAGATGTGAGGGGTTGGGGAGTATGAAAATAAATCTAATGTAATTAACCAATTCCTATTATCTTAAAGACATTCCTGAGTATCCCGATTACTCTTCTGTACGTTATTAATAGAGCATCTCCCACAGATTCTCCCCCCCCCCCCTTGGCAGATGGGGGCAGTAGTCTACCGTTCACTCCCCAGTATCACAATACAAGGTCACGTGACTGACAGAATGGACTCTACCTAGTACAACAAAACCAGAATCACATTTGTAAACATGTTTAAAGAGGTCCTTAAAAATATTATCATGATTGTGACAGCTGTGTTTGAGATCGCTCTAAACAAAATTTTTAAAATCTCGGTTAAAAGTTATTTATCTTTAAGTGTCTCTCCCCTCCCCCCCCCCCCCCCCATTTGTTAAAATGAGTTCAAAAAAATCACAATGAAGTTCCTGGTAAGAGTTATCTATACAATAACACACACAGGAAGCAGATGTTAAGTGTTCTCTCACATCGTTTCTTTCGTCCATCGAACGCTGAAATATATTGCACACAGCGTCATAACTAATGAACATGAAAACATTTTGTATATCAGAGTCAGATCAACTCTGCTCCATCTACTAAACTGACGGTCCGAGCCCGGAGCTGTCTTAGATTCGTGAGCTTATTATTTTCATAAGTCTTACTTTTGGCTCCCCACCCTTCTTCCCCCCCCCCACCCCACCCCTCCTTCCTTTCCTTCCACGTTAACCAAAGATTGTTCTAATTCTCTCCGCTCAAACCCCACTTTTCTAAAAAGCCCCACCCTCCACTTCCGCTAAGCCGCTGAACGTGAGACAGAGAGAAGGGGAGCCCATAAAACACATCTCTTTCTACCACCCCCCCCCCCCAGTCTTAAACTCAAACCTTCCCCGTGATCACGTGAATCCGTTGGGTAGAAAGAAAACAAATTTTAGATCTAACTCCAACGTTAATATGTGATGTTCCAAAAGTTTTTTTTTTTTTTCAAATTTAAAAAAAAACAACTTTTTTTTCTTGCGTTTTTTTTTTTTGCTAGAAAATTTTATAAAAAAATGTTGCCATAAGCGATGTAATTCAAAACTATTTTTATTTCTTTCCAGATTGTTAACTTGATCTTGGATACGATAAAGTTGGATTGGAAAAGAAAGTGCAGTGTCTATTAATAAACAAGAAACCAATGCAGCTGTCAAAATTTCCAAGCGCCTCAGATTTTATGTTATGAGATAAACAAAAAGTGCATCATGGTTAGGCTTTTAGTTTGGAGTTTAGTTAGCATTTGACCTTAGGTGTAATCAGACGTAACGAATAGTAAACAACATGGCGGACATGACAACTGGGGATAATTTCTTGAATGGTGGTTTATCAAACGTGAGCCTGGGGAATGGATCAGACATTAACGGCACCGAGATGGCCGCGGCAGGTGGGATATACATGGCCATCCCGATAGTCATGTTTATGATGGGGGTCATAGGGAATGTGGCCGCTCTGATTGTGCTGACGGTCAAGCCAAGCAAGGACACAAAGTAAGTTTTTGATTTTTTGTTACGGGATCGTGGGGTCAGTTATTGTCTTAGTCTGGGGGTGTTGGGGTCAGTAATTGTCTTGGTTTGGAGTTATAGGGGTGTCATTGCCTTGTCTGTGGATTTTGGGGTCAGTCACTGTCATTGTCTGTCTGGGGATTTTGGGATCAGTCATTGTCTGTTTCGGGATCTTGGGGTCAGTCATTGTCTGTCTTGGGATCTTGGGATCAGTCATTGTCTGTCTTGGGATCTTGGGATCAGTCATTGTCTGTGTCTGAGGATCTTGGGACCAGTCATTGACTAAGTCAAAAAAAAATTGTGTATTACGGGCTGAAATAAAAAGCTCGATAGCCTGAGCATTTCTATTTCTTAAACTCAACAACAAATCCGAGTATAACAATTGGCAAAAAGCGCAGTAACTCTTTCTAAAGGGCGATAAATGTGTCAAGCTAATCACATTTACATGTGCAAGATTTTTATCTTCTGTAATTTGATTTAAAGGCATGACCGCCAGTTACGTGGACTCACGATTACGTCGCCTAATCCGTAATTAAAGCAACCATTACGTCCTGCCGTTTAGGGGTCTATGACAAAATCCTGAGACAGATATATAATATTAACATTTTTTCAGGAAAAGAGCCTTCGGACAAGTGTTTATTCGGGCGTTTGTCGCATTCAGGCAAGTGTCTATTCGAGCATTTGTCACATTCGGGCAAATGTCCATTCGGGAAAATAGCCTTCGGGAAAACGTCCGGTTCCCCTCAGCTTATCTGCTTTCAGAAAAAAAGAGATGGTTAACATCACCTGTCTGGTGGAATCTGGTTGTCCGATCTGAAGTTTGTTGGGGGGGGGGGGGGAGTGAATCGTGAGTCATGTGGTACTCATCATGACCTTGAACCCCGTGGCAGGAAATGATTCAATACTCATGGCTTATTTGTGTTTAGTCGGAGTGAAAAGGAAACGATGTACTGTGTGCTGACTACATTGTGAGATGTCATTTCATATTATGTCACATAGTGTCATGCCAACTAGTGTCATCTCATATTGTGTCATGTTACACTGTGACATGCCAACTACTGACATTTCATGTCAACGTTTGTGATCATCAATGTCATGACACCTAGTGTCACATCAGTGTCATGTCATCATGACACTTTTATTGAATCACACCACCACACACCGATTTAACACTTACACACAGTACACACTTAAGGGGCGATAAATCTTCATTACAAAAATTAAAGAACCATCTCTAGAACCCTCCAACTTCCAGACATCCCCCCCCCTCCAGCCAATCCCGACCCCCGGGGCAATAAATTATTCAGATTCCTGACCATAAACCCCACAACTGATAAAACCAGCAGTTAAAAAAAATATTACTCTGAATGACGACAATAGTTTAGTACTAATTTAACCCGGTCCCCAAATAAAATAGGCGTAGTAGGGGGGGGGGGGGGCGGTGGAGGGGAAGGTCATAAATTGTATTAAAAGCGCTAATAAAATTAGGTAATGCAGCAGAGCGACATTAAAGGCTATAAACATTTTTTTCTGTCGTGGTACGTTGCGTTTAAGGAACTGGTTAGGTACTGTTAGGTTAAACGAACCACATCATTTTTTTATCAATACGGTTAGTTTAGGGTAGCTTTATAACAACGATTAGGGTTAGTTTAGGGTTAGCCTTATAAAACGATTAGGGTTAGTTTAGGGTTAGTTAAAAACAACGATTAGGGTTAGCTTCAAAACAACTATTAGGGTTGTTTAGGGTTAGTTTATAAACAAAGATTAGGGTTAGTTTGGGATTAGTTTCAAAACAACGATTAGGGTTAGTTTAGGGTTAGTTTCAAAATAAGGATTAGGGTTAGTTTAAGGTTAGTTAAAAACAGCGATTAGGGTTAGTTTTGGATTAGTTTTAAAACAACGATTACGGTTAGTTTAGGGTTAGTTTATAAACAACGATTAGGGTTTTTTAGGGTTAGTTTCAAAATAACTTTTAGGGTTAATTTAGCGTTAGTTTCAAAATAACGATTAGGGTTGTTTAGGGTTAGTTTTAAAATACGATTAGGGATGTCTAGGGTTAGTTTATAAACAACGATTAGGGTTAGATTAGGGTTAATTTCAAAATAATGATTAGGGTTAGTTTAGGGTTAGTTTCAAAACAACGATTAGGGTTAGTTTAGGGTTAGTTTTAAAATACGATTAGGGATGTCTAGGGTTAGTTTATAAACAACGATTACGGTTAGATTAGGGTTAATTTCAAAATAATGATTAGGGTTAGTTTAGGGTTAATTTCAAAACAACGATTATGGTTAGTTTAGCGTTAGTTAAAAACAACGATAAGGGTTAGTTACAAAACAACTATTAGGGTTGTTTAGGTTATAAACAACGATTAGGGTTAGCTTAGGGTTAGTTAAAAAATAAGTTTTCAAATTAACGATTATGGTTGGACTATGTACAGATGGGTGGTCTAGCTTTAATGTAAGCGGAAGGGGTAGATTACAGTGTATGCGTTACATTAGTGAACGATTAGATTATATACATGGTAGGTTTAAATTTTGAGTTGGGTTAGCATACAGTTAAACTCAGGGCGAGGGTTCTAGTTCATGTCAAGATTTATACAACACACAAAAAAAACCCAACAAAATAAAAAAAACTATCGCAAGCTGTCAAAAATTGTTCCATCTGCATCTCTATAGTTATTGCTATAAAAAACTAATTAAAACACAACTGTTGCATAAATAAAACGATAAAAAAAACTATTAAAGCGAAGTGTAAAAAGGTGCCGTAGTAATAAAAAAAACCACAGGAAGAGTCATATGGTTAGACAAACTTAACATAAGGTCGTTAGCTTTATTGTTGTTTTGAATAGCTCGACTTTGATCTAGTCGTATAGGCCTACATACCATCGTTAAAATTTGAACATTGTTTTGATGGTCTCTTGAAGTAGACATTGTAGTAGACATACCATCGTTAACTTGAACCCTGTTTTGTTGGGCTGGAGTTGACATTGTAGTAGACATACCATCTCTAACTTTAACCTTGTTTTGATGGTCTTGAAGTAGACATTGAAGTAGACATACCATCTCTAACTTAAACCTTGTTTTGATGGGCTGGAGTTGAGCACGTAGACAAATAAGATAAGAGGCCCAGCCTTGAAATGGTTAGAGAAATTTGTTTAGTTAGAAGACGAGGATAGCTGATAATGAAGTTATGGCGTCATGAGTAATTAGAGGTACGCCAAGTTTTCGCATGGGGTGGTTTGTGTAACAGGTGACCTTGGGGTAGCCTGGTGGCAGGTGACCTTGGGGTAGCCTGGTGGCAGGTGGCCTTGGGGTGGCAGGTGACCTTGGGGTAGCCTGGTGGGCGGTGACCTTGGGGTAGCCTGGTGGCGGGTGAAATTGGGGTAGCCTGGTGGCCGGTGACCTTGGGGTGGCAGGTGACCTTGGGGTAGCTTAACTAGACACGCGTAGCCTACAAATTGCCTGGTTTGGGTTACATGTATATGTAGCTAGAGATAGAGAAGGCAGGAATCGTACAAATAATTTTTTTAAAGAAAACCAGATAAGGTAGTAAGAATTACAAGAAACCTGTATTTAGACAGGAAACCTGAAATAAAATAGGACACTTGCAGGTAGAAAGTGAACCTACAGATAGAAAATAAACATGCTGTAAGACATGAAACCTGCAGTTAGCCAGGAAACCCGCCTCTAAACCTACAGGTAGAAAGCAGTGTTTCTTCCAGACTTTTTCCTCCGAGGGCACTTGAAATTTTCGGGGGGGGGGCGGTAGACTTTCTTCGGGGATCGGACACTATTAAAAGTATATATTTTCTATATAAATTATATAAATTTCATTTCGTTCGGGGGGGGGGGGGGTAAAAAAAATTTCGGGGGGCTTTGCCCCCCCCCCCCCCCGAAGAGATGCCTGGAAGAAACTCTGGTAGAAAGTAAACCTTCAAGTAACCCCTAGAGAGATACAAGAAGCCTAGGCCAAATCACATGCCTAAACATAGTGCTGTCTACCCCAATTCTCGTGTACATTATTAAAGCTCGTCCACATGTTGACATGGTCATCTCACTCGGTACATAGCTGACCTAATTAACTTAATAAACAGACCAGTCACCCATACGGTCACTGCTAATCAGGCCCATTGACCTGATACAGCGCACGTGTTTACACACCTGAAATACCCCCCCCCCCATTGTTAAGAGGTGACCCATGTAAAAGTACACTTGTCAATACGTCACTCGGCTATACAATACCATACTTGATTTAATTCAGGACGTTCACACAAGTATCCGATATCCCACTTGATTTTTTCTTCTTCTTCTTCGTTCTTAATTTTAGTGGTGGAAGGAATCCCCTCAAAACACAATTAAGTATATGTGTCAACTGGTTATACGCCATTGAGGCCATTGACTCCGATTTCAGCCTGCTTTTCTTTTTGGATTTGCTTCCATAGCCTTTAACCAACTAAGAACAAGCTAGCTACAAGGCAGCAGTTGTTTGATTTTGGAGTTGTCTCTCCTAGATGTGTTGCTTTCCCCAGCTAACGAGTCTCATTGAGACTTTTCGGTTTAGCAACCATGAGCTTTACCGACTCGACCACGCCGACCCCTCCTCTTGATTTAATTCACGACATTCACACAAGTGTCCGATACCAAACTTGATTTAATTCAGGACATTCACACAAGTATCCAATATTCCTCTTGATTTTATACACGAGATTCACTTAACAATCAAATGTTCACTTGATTTAATTCAGGACATTCACTTAACAATCGAATAATTGCTTGATTTAACCCAGAACAATTGTATTTGTAAAAAATGTTTAAGTTTACATTTCTCCACCTACCTTGATTTTTTTTCCTCCGACAAAAATTAAAAAAAAAAAAAAATTATGGCACCTAACAACACGTCTTGATTTTATCTTTAACCTCCCCACCTACCTACCTAACTAAACTTTAAACCTATTTAAAAATTAATTTTTTTTTTTTGCTTTCCGTAGAACCTAGAAAATAAATCTCTCAAAAAATGCTTAGTTTGCATGCACGGGGAAAATATTTTACATGATTTCAGCTTTTAAAAGATTATTATTTGTATCTTTCCCTACCTTTACTTTAAAATTGAAAAAAAATATTTTGAAAAATAAAACGAGGTAAGTTCAACGTTTTCTTCAAAATAAAAAAAAAGCTCAAACTAAAATAAATTCAGCCTTTACATAAACACGTATTACATTTCAACTTTACCACATCAAGGTGTATTTTGGATAGAGGAGAAGAGGCAAATTTTTGTCTTATCTCAATATTCTATTCTAGAAATGGGTATGTGAGGTATTAGAGTTTAGTTAAACTCTGATGGTGTAACTCGTCACATTCTAACACCTAAGTTCATGTCATGTTGACATAAGATATTCTGACACACATTCATGTAATGTTCTCGAAGGTACAAATCGTGTTTGCGTTGGAAAGATATATGTATATATATATATATATATATATATATATATATATATATATATATATATATATATATATATATGACTTACTTGACTTATTCCATTGTAGCTCCCGAGGATCAAAGGGCTGCAATCACACATTTTCACACACACACACTCACACTCACACGCACAAACACGCATGTGTATTTGAGAGAGAGGGTGGGCTAAGCGATACAGATGTAAATTGTAAATAATTAAACACTAAAAAATAAATGAAACATCATACAAATAACAAACAAGCATCACACTATCTTTTAGCCTTTGATAGACCTATAATTTCCCCTCCCCAACAAAAAAATCAAGGGGGGGGGGTTGCAAGCCCCCTCTAAACACCCCCTTTGATCCGCCTATGATCTCAGTCCACGTGCCTTGACCTTGCACTCATCACTCCCCCTTCTACCCCACAGGGCGTCTGCCTTCTACCACCTGGTGAAAGCCCTGGCCATCATGGACCTGGTGGGGATCGTGGCCTCCTCGCCCGTAACGATTGTTGTTTACATTCACGGGGGAATTATAAACACAGGTGAGTTAAAGAGCGGTTCTAGCCAGGCCTTCCCCCGCTGCACTAGCCATGTTTACACCCGGGAAAGAAGGAGTGTCTGTTTAAAAAGGTGTGAGTGGTTGTTTAAAATTTTTGGGGTAAGTCTTTAGAAAATGTTAAGAATGAGGTAATTACACGTAAAAAATCCTTAGAAAATTCGAGAGTGCTGAAAATTCTTTAGATATTTGTTGTTTGTCTGTCTTCTTAAGTGTTTTTAAAATTAATTTTAATTGCTTGTGCGTAGTAATTTTAATTACAAACAGAATTTTTTTTCTAAGACTTTTAGAAAAGCTGTTTACGAACATTTATCGGCATGTTAACTTATCTGCGCATGCGTAACGGTCGCATGATACATCATGTCGCCCAATACTTCGCGGAGCACAATTCGAAGTATTATTTTTTTTTGTTTGTAGTAGAAAAAACAATTGGCATTTTTAATGGCAAGCTGTCCGCATTTCACCTTCGGCATTATTTAAATACAGTTCTTGTTGTCAAACTAAGTTAGTGGGTTGTATTAGTGTCTGAATGTCTAAACCTCATTTATTATTTTCCACATTATTTTACGTAACTACACAATAAAGTTCACTGACATAAATGTCTACTCTGGGATTTTAACTAGTCCAATAAATTTGGCGCTAAGACAACACTGTGTGACACAGAAGCCCTATGTCTGTAAATGGCAGGCTTTTAGTCTGTTGATCTAGAGTAGTTTTCTGGATCTGAGAATAGCATTGACATAGCGATTAGTGTCTTCCACCTCTCCAACACTGAAGTTCGCACAACAAACCTACAGTGGGTCTGTTGTCACACAGCGATCTTTGTAATGTGAGAGTTAAAAACATGGCTGGGTAGATGTTACAGAGTGAGTTACTATAGGCCCATCTGTAAATGTATAGTTTCTCTTTCGAACCGGATGGCCCATAAGGGACCTAGCGGTAGAACGCAAGACTGCTAACCCGAATGTCTCGAGTTCGAATCCGTTTTCAAGTCAGTAGAACGTCTCTGAGTTCATTCAGTTCTGATGGGTACCTAACTCATGTTAGGTATGAAGTATCCCCTTGTATGTCCAGGTCATTTAAACAGATGAACTCTACTTCATCTGCCCATGTGTCTTGGGCACAAACGGGAAAATAAGATGCTTTCTTTATAAATATAAATTTTATATATATATATATATATATATATATATATATATATATATATATATATATATATATATGTAACTAGGGTAGGCCTAGCTACTAGTTACAATCTGATGCAACTGATAACGAACGATAAGCCGCGACGCAGTATTACAGTCTGATGCAACTGATAGCAGGTGGCTTATTAAATCGGACTGATAACAATCTCAAAGCCAACGCGTGCTATTTTGGGAAACGGTACGAGGGGATTCAGACGGCCTGTCAACTTTGATTGATAGGATGCAGATGTTTTATTAATCGGGCTGTACGTTAGAACTGCGCAACTAGTAGTCGGAGACATCGAGTACAAATATCGATTACGGAGGAATACAAGTACGAATACGAGTACGAATACAAGGGATAAATAGGAGGGGACGGCTGAACTCGCCCTTTTTCGATCGCTCGCTCTCCTTCGATCGCTCGCACTCTCTTCATCGCTCGCTTTAGATCAGTCAGTCTGTGTGACATATCAAGTTGGAGATAGAACGGGTTAGCCGTATTGTGTTAAGAAGGACGATAGACATGTGGATTCAGTTATATGAAGCCTAGTGAGGACTGTTAGGGGTCAGTTGATTCAGACTATTATTGTGAAGCATTCCTGTTGATTCATTGTGTTATTTTGAAGCATTTCTTGATTCATGTAATAAAAGGATCAATAGCGAACCTGCATCTTCGAGTATTTCTACTGTGGTCGATGTTGTGTAGAATGAGTGGTTAAACTCGTTACATTTGGCACTACAGGCAAATAGTCTCGTAACATGTGGCGTTGCGAGCAGGGTAACTGTTCGCTCGTTACAATTGGCGTCGTCGGACAGGATGAATTCAACTAGACTTGCCGTTGGAGGCACCCATAGTCAACCTTGTGCATAACTGTGTTTTGTGTGTGTGTGAATTCGGACATTCAGGAACTGTGAAAATCGAGGAACGAGAAAAATTTTTCATACACACACGGTAAGAAAGAACTCTTTTTTTTTGCTACTTACGGAATAAAATGTCTACTCTGGACGAGAAGCAGACCCATATAGTGGTCCTACCCAGAGAGTCCTACATTAACAAATTTTACGGGGACGGTGATCCAACTTTAACCAACAGGTTCAGTGAAGAGGTCAAAGCGGCCTGGGCCTCGAGAGGCATGTCACCAGAGGAAAGATTAAGACTGCTGATGGGCAGTATAGGAGAGACGGTTAGGGCAGAGGTCAAATGCCACGATAAAACCATCCAATCAGATCCAGATAAGGTGCTGGATCTGATTATGGAGACCTTTGGGGAGAGACGGTCGGGATCGCAACTGCTATCGGTGTTTGTAGGTATAAAGCAGAGAATGGCGGAGAGTGTGATGGAGTACTCACACAGGATGAACAGGGCCTTTGATTCGGTAAAGGGCAAAACACCTGACATTGATGTGCGCCTACTGAGGGACCATTTCATCGAGGGGCTAGCAACCCCGATCTTAAGAAGAGAGTTGAAAGAGGAGGTCCACAAAGACCCGCAGTTGACCTTCCTTCAGGTCAGGAACTCAGCGATCCGCAGGTCCGAGGATGAGGACCAATCGAACTGTTCGGTGGACAAAGTCTCTGTGCCGGAACAGAAACAATCCCCACCCACAGGGGCCGACACGATGGAGACCATGATGGCTCAACTGTTGGCCCACCTAGATAAGGTTGACCAACGTTTGGAGAGGTTAGAAAGCAGGTCAACAGCTGAGAATCAGGAAAAGAACGGGACAAAACAGAGACAGGTTGGACGGCCGCGTCCTGCCAAGCCATCACTCCAATGGACGGCCGACGGTCGACCAATTTGCTTGTCCTGTTCGCAACCCGGACATATGGCACGGTACTGTCAGGGAAACGGTCGTCCTCTGTAAGGCAGGGCCAGGCTACAGAGGGGCGAGGTTATGGCCCAAGAAACAAAATGATGGGAGTCTGTCCCGAAATGGTGATTACGATTGGGGACATCGCGGTGAAGGCAATTGTGGATACAGGCTCCCAGGTGACGACAATTACGGAAAATTTTTACACCAAATGGATGAAAGGAAAAGACCATAGGTTAAGGTCTGACACGTGCATGCGCCTGACGGCAGCTAATGGACTAACCATTCCATACTGTGGTTATTTTCTGGCGGATGTCGTGGTGGCAGGACATAGGTTGAAGCAGGTTGGGGTGTTCGTTACGAAACACAACCTAGAGACAAATGTGTCAAATATACCTTGCCTGTTGGGCATGAATATTCTTGGCCAGTTGCCAGAATTTCTTACAAATATTGTCGGATCGACCACACCAGGTCGGGGATCCAAGTTGGCCAGGTTTGCCAAGACCAGAGGAAGGATATCAGTCCCGGCAAACACGGTCAAGGCAAGCACATTACAAATTGGTGATAAAAGCGTGAATGGTGATGTGATGATAGAACCATGTGGCGCCGCACTGAGGGCAGGCGTCGTGTTACTGCGGACATACACATCAGCGGAGAAGGGACTAGTTCAAGGATTAGTGGCAAATGTTTTGGATGAGGAAATTTCTATACCGCCTAATACTCTGGTAGGAGTACCACAGAACGTCGAGGTACTAAGGTAGGCACAGTGCATCGAACTGAGCAATACCAGCAGTAATGAAGTAACAATTAGGTCGGTCAATGTGACGGCCGAGGTGAAGAAAGAGGATGGCCGATCATATACATTCCCGGAAACTGAGGACCCAAAACTAAATGAATTGCTGAATAAATACAGGGATATATTTGCCTCGTACGAGGGTGATTTGGGTTACACGGAAGTAATAAAACACCAGATACCCTTACTACAAGACAAGCCGGTGGCGCAACCTTATCGAAGATTACCACCAAGTCACTACTCGGCGGTGAAAGCACACCTGAATGATCTACTAAAAAAGGGAATTATTACAACCAGTACAAGCCCGTATGCGGCACCGATAGTAGTGGTAAAAAAGAAGTCAGGGGAGATAAGACTGTGTTGTGATTACCGGAAATTGAACAATATCACAAGAAGGGATGCATTCCCCTTGCCTCGGATTGATGAGTGTCTTGATGCGTTGGGGGGAGCAAGATTTTTTTCTACCCTGGATTTGGCTAGTGGCTACCACCAAGTGGCCATGCACCCCAACGATCAACATAAAACGGCATTTATTTCTCCACTGGGACTGTACGAGTGGACCCGTATGCCGTTTGGTTTGACTAATGCACCTGCTACATTCCAGCGAGTAATGCAGAGTGCTATGAGTGACTTTCTATTTCAAATAATGTTGGTGTACTTGGATGATATTCTAGTTTACTCAAAAACTTGGGAGGACCATCTAAAAAGATTAGAACAAGTGTTTCTCCGTCTTAGGGAGATAGGAGTAAAGCTGAACCCAGACAAATGCTGCTTTGGTCTGAAATCGGTACATTTTTTGGGTTATGTGATTTCGTCGGATGGCATCGCCACTGACCCAGATAAAATTGCAGCTGTTAAAGAATGGAAACAACCAACAACTACGGTAGAGGTCAGGTCATTCTTGGGTTTTGCTTCCTATTATAGAAAATTTGTACCTGGTTTTGCAAAAATTGCCGCACCGTTGCATGACTTGGTAAACAAAATGACAAAGAAACACAGTAAGGAGAAAAAGAAAGGTAAAACACAACTGATAGGTGAATTATGGACTGAGGAATGCCTGAACTCGTTTAAGCTACTGAAAAAGGCTTTGACAGAGACGCCGATATTGGGATACGCAGAATTTGACAAACCATTTCGGCTAGAAATTGACGCCAGCTCGAAAGGTCTGGGAGCTGAGCTATCACAACAACAAAAGCAA